CTTTCCATCCAGTCCTCGTACTGCATCTTCTGCATCTCTAGGATCTTCAAATTCCACAAAGGCAAATCCTGGAGGATTTCTCGCAATCCATACAGTTCTTAAAGGACCATAATAACTGAAAGCCCTTTCTAACTCTCCTTTGCCAGCACCAGTGCCCAGGTTACCAACATACACCTTGGTTTCTGTTTAAAAACGCAAATAGAAGAATGCACGTTATGCAAAATTTGGCCTTAGTTTGAATGCATTTTTTGCCTTAAAACGGGCCATCCTTATGACAGAGCAAAGCATGTTTGACGTCCCCGATAGAGGACTGAATTTAATCTTAAGACCAGTAAGGTTTACAGACCTGAAAAGCTAGACTTATGACAAAGTTCTTAACATTCTAATACGGGGGGAACCTCCAGAACACAAGCAAAGATGGGTAGCAGCAGAATCCAAGACGTGGGGCGGGCCATGGCCCGGCCCCGCCCCGAGTCCCGACAGCCCCGGGCGCACCGGGAGCGCGCGGGCCCGCGGCGGCAGCAGCGTCGGCGGCGGGCGGGCCGCGGCGGGGGCCGGGCCGGGAGAGCAGGGCTGCACCAGCTCTCATCCTCCGCGGTAACCGCCCCAGGCGCAGGCTCGCCCAAGACTCCAGCTCCCCGCCCCAGAGCCATAAACCGCGCTCGAAAGAGCTAAAAGAGAAAAGAAACCAGCCGCCAGTCGCAAAAGATTATGCCCCCATTCCCATTCCGTAATTCTACCGATCGTTTGACGAGAATGTGCAGCAAGCAGCTTCCATTTCGTTCAGTCTTAAATGCAATTTACGACTGCGACCACATCTGTCCGCTGAAGTGGCGGGAAAGCGCTAAAGAAATGCGCCACCACGGTCGTCAATGTGCTCAAAATGGCAGCCGCCACCGAGGGCGGGGGGAGGGGGCGGGCGGCTGCACGAAGGGCACCGGGAAAACCGTGATCCTGGACCTCGCCTTGGGCTGGAGCGGGCGACGAAAACACCCAAGAATACGGAACCCGGCACACACGCACACCCGCCATCTCCAGTCTCCCTCCAGTACCCCGCCCCCGCGGCCTCCGGCTTCGCAAGGCGTGCGCCGAAGCCGCCATTACGCACGCGGAATAACCGTCTCCCAACCGCCGCGCAAACCCTGCGGGTTCGCACTACTCACTACACCCACATCAACATCCCTCACCGGGCCCCAGCTTCTTACCTCCTCCATACCGCCCATAGCGCGACATGATGACCGGCCCGCGTGCTCTGCTCTTTAGCTCGCAGCAACCAGACTCGCGTAACACGAAAACTACAACACAACTACTCGCCAACGGTCCCGCCGGCACTACGAGGAAGAACCCGGGTCCGCGCTTATATATGCGGCGGCTGGGATTTTTGCGCATGCGTCATCTCGGCGTTCTGCGCGGCACAAAGGAGCTGGGCGGAAACCGTCTAGAAGCGGCGCGGAAGGAACTGAAGAGCATAATACGTTGGTCACGGGCGGAGGGATACGTTTCCATGGGAACGCCACGATCTTGCCTGTAAACCTGTGGCCTTCCCGGTGGTGTCCCTTACCCTCCCTCCCTCTCCCCTTTTCCTAAACCCTTGTTATCTTCCTTCCCTTTGCCCTGTCTCCTACCCATTTGTGTTTTCCCCAATCGTGGGCCCCTCAGCGCTCTCAATCTTAGTACAGGTGCATTGAGACCGGGCTATGAAAGGCTGTACAATTTAACCGCTGATGTTGCAGCCGTTGCCGCCTCTCTGTTGGGGGACCTGGTCTAGTCTGCTACTCAGTGATCTTTGGGGCTCCTCAGAGGTAATTGGGAGTTGGCCAAGGTGAAAACTCCGTGAACCCCCGCCATTGTGAGTGGTGCTCTTTGCACCGTAGGCCTCAAAAGGGATGACACCTCCAGGGATTCGTGGTGATATCTCCTGCTCCTGCCCTGCATCCACTCTCAGAATCAATCACTAATTTGTCACCAACACAGACTGAGTTCTTGGAGTCTGGAGGACAAAGAAATAGGGAGTTGTTGTGGGTTTTTTTTCCCCTGGATATATTGAAATTTTGACAAAACCCTGAGTCCTTAAAGCATTTTAGCCAGTGGCAATTCGTGAAATTTTGAAATTATTTGCATCTGAATTACAAAGTAATTTATTTGTTCTTCCCTTCTAGTGCTGTCTGCTTTGTATTGTAGTAACACGTATAATCCACCAATACTCACATCCTGAGGATTGGGACTCTTAAATCATCTTTTAGAATATCCACTCAGTAGATACAGCAGGCTTGCTGCTTAGCCGCTCAATATACATCAAGTAAATGAAAAACTTTACATTAGCATTGCTTAAAATTCAGTTGTGATTTTATACACTATATTTGCCAGACACCAACTCTACAAATACAGATTTAAATTCCTTTTACTAAGACCACAAAAAACATAGGCTTGGAATCATATGATGAAAAATACTTGGAATACAGAGTTGGAAATATTATACATAAAAAAGGAAATCCTTAGGTATTTGTGTTTTTATCTTTTTCATCTGTCGTAACTTGATTTGGTGTGTATAGGTGTAGGATGCAGAGAACAGGGTAAGGAGGCCTAATTGGTGAATAAAGCATGGATTCTTTCCAGGTAATGCTCTGAATATATGCATATATTTTTCTCAAATTTAACAAATTACAAAAAGAATTAGTCTATCTCAAGAAAATCTCTAGCAAGAAAATAGAAGGTCTGTAGAGTATATTTGTTCTCCCTTAGTCTTCGTGATTTTTGTTTTTCTCTACTTAACAGGGTTCTTCTCTGCAAGATTAAACAATAATAATAATAAAAATCTTTTTAGGGCCGGGTGCGGTGGCTCATGCCTGTAATCCTAGCACTTTGGGAGGCTGAGGCAGGAGGATCACTTGAGCCTGGGAGTTCCAGGCTGCAGTGAGCTATGATCACGAAACTGCACTCTACCCCTGGCAACAACACAGTGAGACCCTGTCTCAAAAAAATAAAAAAGATCTTTTTATATATTCCCTGAAAGATAGAATATCAATTCTGTAAAGCCTCACTAATTTGACTTTCTTCTATTAAGAATTTATGAAAATTACTGTTGACTAAGCGTAGATAAGTGCTTGAAAGACAGTACTTATTATACTGCATCGCTCCTAATAGGCCTCCATAAATATTTTTTGCCTCTGAATACAAAGTCTATTGTTGTACTAAAGAGAATTTCTAAGCAAATAATAGTGTAAACAGAAGCAGTTCTCCAACTTGTAACAAACTGCTTTCAGATACAGTAAAGGAAAAAGGGTAAACCCTGGCTGGCATACATGCCTCTCTTGGAGACAGGTGTTTGATAAGCTAATTACAGATTATTTATCCCTATTAAAGCAAGGCCAATTCTAGGCCAGGTTTGTAACCTGGTTACCATGAAAAAATAATAGTACCCGTATACTATTTCCATGCACTACTATACTGAACACTCTTTCTCTAAGAACACACAACCAATTCTTTTCCCAAATCAGGGAGATTTTATTGTGCAGAGAACTTTTATTCCTCCTGATTCTCTTTAAAATCAGTTTCACCCACATAAGTTTCTGCCTCTAGAATTCTGTGTTAAATTTAGATTACGTCCCTAGGTTCAGTTTGAATGTAAAAACTATTTAGTTCAATTCAACAAATATTGTAATATTTTCTAGTGTAAAACATTGAGTAATTCTTAATATGTTACTATTGTGAAATATTGGCAATATTATTAGTTTAGGAAGGGGGAGTAATTCATAATTCTTTTACAGCAGTTTTCAAAATGTATCTGCATTTCCTAGATTCAGTATTTCCAGAGAAGCATTAAAAAAACAGTTCACTTTTTAATCTGACTTCCCTCACCATTTTAGTTTCACTTCTAAGTCACTGTCACCATTTTGGCTTGGATATACACATCTTAAAACAAGAAAAGAAAAGCGAATTTAAACCTTTTGTACATGTATCTATTTTTAATATAAATAGTCTATAGTAACAATCTTTAACATGTATCTGTGTATGTAGCACAGGTCAATCCAAACAGCTATGTTCAACTACACTTTTTTTTTCTTTTTCTTTTCATCCTAATTTGTCCTATTTTTTTTCTTTTTCAACATTTCATGATCTTCTGTTCCCTCTAGAATGTTTTTAAGAAATTGTATGAAGGAAAAGTTTATAGAGGCATGTTCAGAGTCCTTGCATACTATATAAAGAAATTAATTTCTCATTAGTCAAGTACTGGAGTAAAGAATGAGGGGCAGAGAGAGCAATAAAGAACACCAGTGCTTTGACTAATTTCAAAGAGTAAAAGTAGGAAAAGGAAAAATGTGATGCAGGAGTGCCCCAGTGATATAAATATTACTTAAATGGGTGATTTAGGAGTGCACAACAATCTGGGGAATAATGAGGATTTCTGAGGAATGCAAGATTGTATTAAAAAGTGTGAAACTATGACATCTTCAAGCGCTAAACTAAGCAATTGTGTTGTTCCTCTCTAAAGAAAGAATCTTAGTGAAAGGGTCTTGGTCAGCTTGGTATCTTGACTAGAGGGCTAAAGGAACTTAGATTTAAGACTTTAGCAGTTTATTCACCACTATCTTGGAAGGAAGTAATCTTGTAGGTAGGACTATTCCAGTCATTAAAGAGGTGTATTTAAAGTAAAATAGGGATAATTCTTTGGGCTTTTCTGAGTGAAGTTGCTCAAGACCATTTTGCACAAGAATTTAGTGTGCATAGAATTGTTGGGATGCTATTAATGAAGATTTCAAAATCCTTACTCCAAAGATGCTGGTTCCTTAGACATGGGATAGACCTAATGAACCTTCTTTATTGACCAGCTCTTGGCTGTGCTTAGAAAAAAACTGTTTAGGACCAGTGACTTAGCTTCTTTGGATGTTTTGATACTGATCTTTTAGTCCTTGGAAATGATTATCTTCTACGGTAAATTAATAAAAACTATTTTAGTTAATAATTCCTTTTAATAGGAAGGATGGTGTAGTGTCATGATTAAGAGCATAAGCTCATGGATGTGACACAGTTGGGTTTGAAGCTTGACTCCACTACTTGCTAGCTGCCTACCATTGACCAAGTTATTTATTCTCCTGTTACTTCAGCTTTCTCATCTGCAAAATAGGCTTTAATAATAGTACGTATTTCAGAGAGTTGTTGTTAGGATCAAATGAGGTAAACCAAGTAAATAATATTGCACAGTGTCTAACACATACTGAGTGTTCAATAAATGTTAACTGTTAGTAGTAGTTGATCAACCTTTGTCAGTTGCACAAAATTTGATACCATCTGGGTGCATTGACAAAAGAAATTTTGTTTCTGCAAAGTTGGGGACTAGACTCTTTAACATGGTGACCATCCTTGCTTGAGTGGCCAGCCAACTCCCTCTAAGACATCTTTGTTTGTCTCTTTGCTCATTGACTTCAATAACAACAAAATTGTCACTTTTCTTCTTTGACTCAATCCACTGAGAGAAAAACAATGACATATATAAAAAGCAACAATTCAGAAAAAAGAAACTTTCTTCATGAAAAGTAGATCCCCAGGAATCCCAAATTCAAATGCTGAAACCTTAAGAGTTCTAAGATATTTGCCTGTGGAATGGAAAGATGTGTGTTCATGAGAAATGGGGATAAGATAGGAAAATTGTCACTTTTTGATTATTATGAAGTTTAGTCTTGAAGCTAATTTCTGTAAGATCAGGCACACCTAAAAAAAAAAAAAAGATCTACTCCAAAGCCAATGACAAATGGAAACATACACTCCAACTTTCAAATAGATAATTAAATTTAGACTACCTATGAAAAAATGGCTTGAAATTCAGAGCTAGAACAAATTTTAGCAAATCATTAATCTAATTATCTCATTTTAGAACTAAGACTAAGGCCAGGTGGGATGGCTTACACCTGTAATCCCAGCACTTTGGGAGGCTGAAGCAGCAGAATCACTTGAGCCCAGGAGTTGGAGACCAGCCTGGGCAACATGTTGAGACCCCCGTATGTACAAAAAATGAAAAAGTTATCTGGGCATGGTGATGCTCACCTGTAGTCTCAACTACTTAGGAGGCTGAGGCAGGAAGATCACTTGAGCCCAGGAGTTTGAGGTTCAGTGAGCTACGGTGATGCCACTGCACTTTAGCCCAGGTAACAGAGGGAAACTCTGTCACAAACAAACAAAAAAATTAAAATAAATTTATAAAGCAAAAATGAGACTAAGACCTAGAGTTGCAGTATAACGAGTGTAATGGTTCCCAAATCCTGCTTCAAGGAACATCAGTTTGGATTTTGACTAAAATTTCTCCAATCTCAGAAAAATAGGAAATATTGCCAACCATTTGTTCTTGAGAAGAACTATTCCTTGTATTGTAGATATAGCTTTCCTAATT